ATACGCTCCCTATATATATATATATATATATATATATATATATATATATAACTTTATAATGCACATATTACGCATATCAATCGATAAATAGCGTGATGTAAAATAAATTAAATAATGCTTGAGGGGGATTAATCCCTTGTCGAGGAGTGTCACGTGCGTGAATGTGGTTGTATTATTGGAACCCGTAGTGGCATGTACTACGTTGTTCGAGTTACTCTACACAAAAAGGTTGAAGAATGTGGAGATTTTATAATAGTTCTTAAGACTAATAAAGAATTAATAATAACTAGATCTAAGAGGAGAACCACATGTAAAGTGAAACGATAATAAATAAATAAATAAATAACTATTTTATTGGTAAACTGTAATAAGAATATAAAAATATGTATTCAATTTTAAAATTCCATTTCAAATAATATAGTATTATTTCAATGGTTAGTATAGATATTTCATAATATTTAATGTTAATTTTAATTAAAATTTAAGTATTGAAAAAATAACTAAAGAAACTAAAAGCTTATTTTTTCAAGGACAACATATTTAAAAATATTGGTTTAATTTAATATAAAATTCATAAAAATACGTGTTGTAAAATACAAAAAGTACATGATTGCATGATAACATATACATGTATGTATAAGGTCTCTTCTATTTTCAAAGAAGGAATTTATATTTATATTATAAGAATTAATTGGATGGAGGCACTTTATATATCTAATAATTATAAATAAAATATTAGAAGATTATATACATAAAAAAAATTACGTATAATTATTTAGAGTTGATATAATAATTTCTTTATATATTTGAGAGATATAATATTTCTTTAAAAAATAGAGACTAAAAAATGAAAACCGGAAACAATTATATATATCTTAATATTTTCTTTATAATAAGTATAAATAAATTAAATTATTATGATATTTTGATTTTTAAACTACATACAATTTTTTATTAAGGACAATTTTATTTCAATTAAATAAAAATAAATTTAAACAATTACACACCAATTTCAACTTGTTCCATGCCATTCTAATTACTTATTACCAAACTTGTTTTTGAGAACTAATTTATTGACATGATTGAAAAGTGGCTTTATTCTTTAAATTACAGTGAGAAGGTTAATTACCATATATACGTATTATATAAATAAATTATTTTCTTGGGTAATTTTTAATATTTTAAAAATTTATTATTTAACTTTCTTGTCATCAACCGACCATAAAGAAAGTTATTTTACATATAGCACTTTCTAATGTTTTTAAAGACTCTTAAATATCTCTCTATATATTTTATATCCATTTTTTTAAAGATAGTTATATTCTTATATTATGATTTAATTTTTTATTAATATATATTTAAGGATAAAATAAAAATATATATTAAGAGAAAAATATCCACTTATTCTATTCAATAATTTATGTTTTATATCAAATTTTAATGATTCAACCATTGAATTAAAAATATTTAATATATATATCAAGTATGTAAATTTTAAAAATTATTTAA